GGGGGTCTTCAAGAGGAGGTTGGATATGCATCTAGCTGGGGTCATCTAGACCCAGCCCTCTTTCCTGCCTATGCAGGGGGTTGGACTCGATCTATTGAGGACCCTTCCGACCCTAACATCTATGAATCTATGAATCTACGCCACCACGCACTCATGGGTGGGCACACACATAGGCACACGTGTATGCATGGGCGCACACATACACAGGCATATGTGCTCATTCACACAGAGACACTCACACACATACACACAAACATGCACACGCACACGCACGCTAGCTCTCACTACAATGTTAGCAGGCAGAGCGGGAAAGGCCTTGGAGGTTAACAAGAAAACAACATCAGCATGATTATTACTCTAATAATTGTTGCTGCTGTTACTAATATTAATACTATTAATATTAATAAACAAATGTCTAAATGATAAATCTGTAGATTTATACTTTATAAATGTATAAATTATAAACCTATAGATTACAAATCTACAGAATGATAGTTTATAATTATAAATCTATACCTTTATCATTTATACATTAATAACACAATATTAATCATAGATAATATTGATATTATTAATAGTAATGATAACATTAAGATGATGAAATCCATAATAGCAGTAATACTACTATCATAATCATTACTGTGGTCAGGTCAGACCAGGCCAGGTCTGCTATCGTTATCGCAGCAGACGGAGCTACCTGCAGCTGTCAATGCCATGAGCTGAGCAGCAGGAAATAGCCAAGCAACCTCTATGATGCCAATGGGTTTGGGTGGAGGAGCTACCTAGAGCGGGGTACTAGTCCTTACCCTTGGTGGAGGAATTGCCACTGAAAGGCCAGTAAAGTACTGACCCACCACGGTCTGCCTGCCTCGTTTGGTGCATGGGGCTAGACCAAAAGTCAAAAAACAGACAGCAAATCGAGTACCAGGCAACAAGACAAGAAACCTTAAACCTTCCGGCTGGGAAGCGGGAATGTCAGGTCCGTGTGTCCTAGCATGGAGGACAATTTATCATGAGGGACAGTGTCTGGAAGACCTCACTGATGGACCGAGAGCTGCAAAAACTTAACATTGCTATTGCAGCCTTTCAGGAGACAAGACTGGCCAACTCAGGCTCCATTCGTGAGGCCAGCTATGCCTTTTTTGGGGAAGGCAGGGCTGCAGAAGATACTCGCCTACGCGGGGTCGGATTCACAATCTGCAACAGGCTGGTCAAAGCCATCGAGACCCCCCACTTAACCATCAGATCGCATCATCTCACTCCGACTACAGTCAACTGACGACTGTGGTAACATCATTAGCACCTGCGCACCAATGTTACAGGCAAGCTCAGATGATAAAGATAACTTCTGCGATGCCCTGTCCCAAGTCATTGAGCACCTATGGTCAAACGAGAGGCTTCTCGTCGTAGGGGACTTCAGTGCTCGAGTAGGCGCAGGTCACGACCCTTGGCCACCCTGCCTGGGACATCACAGCATGGGGGAAACGAATGAAAATGGCCAATGTCTTCAGTAACTCTCCACCTTAAACCATCCATGTATCACTAACACCTACTTTGCAAGCAAAGAACGTCAAAAAGGATCACGGAGACACCCACGATCTGGCCACTGGCATCCACTCGACCTCGTGACCACCAGGAGGAAAGACCTGCCCAGCGTGCTACACACCCACAAGTATCACGGTGCAGACTGTGACACAGACCACTTTCTGACTGTCAGCAACGTGAAAGCGACACCAAAGAAGCTGCGTAGAGCCAAGTGTAAAAATCAGCCAAGAATTAACACATGCAGCACAGAGGTCCAAAGCAAGCGCCTTGACTTTCAAAGGACCTTTGACCTAGCTCTGTCTATGAAAGCAGCAACTGTAGATGTGGAAGGAACTTGGAGTGGAATAAGAGCAATCATCCAGGAAACAGCCACAGAGATATTTGCGGAAAAGAAATTATCAAACAAAGACGGGTTTGAGGCATGCTCGGAAGAGATGCTACCACTTGTTGAAGCCAAAAACACAGCCTGCCTGAAATGCAACCAGACCCCAGCAGAAAGGCAGATGCCATGGCAGGGTGGACTGGGCTCTCCAGCCTTCGTTGGCAACCGGTCTGGGAGTGCAGCCCCCGAAAGGCAAATGGATTGAAGATTTCCTTTGTACGGCAGCCAAGCTGGCTCCAAATGTACCGGCTTCTGCCTTTCCTTCGGGATCAATCAGCTAGGCCGAGAGGGGGACGTTGATATATGGGCAACTCAAGCGTCTCCGTACCAACTGCCCGGGCCATTGCAGCCAAAACTGAATGGAGAGGATGCTCCATCTTTGCCGCTTGCAAAGGCGAAGCTGAAGCACGCCAGGGCAATGGTACAGAAGTGGATTCAGAGCAGGGAGATTATCAGTGGACATGATACCCTCTTTATACCAACTGCAAGAAAAATGCAGAGAACAAAATAAACCACTGCGCATAGCACGTGTCGACCTGATGAAAGCCCCCGATACTGCCAGCAGAGCAGGCTTGTTCAAGGTCCTGGTAAAGACTGCATGCCCCCCAGCGTCACTCAGCATGATACGCTCCTTCCCTGAAAACACACAGGCCACAGTTCAGTTTGAGGAGCAACCTCTGGGAGGTTTCAGATGAAGAGTGAAGTGAAACAGGGCTGGGTTCAGGTGCCCACCCCCTTCGGGGTCTTCTTTTCTATGCTGCTGCACTGCACGTTTGATGGCTTGGAGGAAGGCACACACCTTCATGTAAGATCAGACAGCAGACTCTACCATCTATCACATCTAAAGGCCCAGACAAAAGTGAGGCACATACTCAATAGAGAGCTCCTTTGTGCTGACAATGCTGCTCTCACTGCCCATAAAGAAGGCCAACTACAAATACTCATGTATCGCCTCCCCCGTGTTTGCAGGATGTCTGCCCTGACCATCAGCTTCAAGAAGACATGGTGTTTGCTGGTCACCATCTATCAGCCTTGACAATGCACCTTGAGAGGCAGCGAACAAGTTTGGCTACTTGGATCTACAGGGAGCGATGACCTATTGCTGGATGAAGAGCTAAATGTGAGTGTTGGAAAGGCAGCTACCACGTCCAGGAAGCTCTCCAAATGAGTCTGGAACAACACAAAACTCACAATCAAAACTAAGCTGCTTGTGTACAAAGCCTGCACCCTCAGTGTCCTTATGCATAGCAGTGAGACATGGTCAAGGGATGCATGTCAAGAAAAGAAGGTGAAAAGCCTACACTTACAGTGCATCCTTGACATCACGTGGCAAGACAGAATCACCAATACAGGAGTCATTGCCAAAGCCAGCCACCGCTGCACAACTGAAAACAGTGGCACCTGGGCCGGCTTGGCCATCTCTGCAGGATGGAAGATGAACGCATCCCAAAAGACATCTTGTATGGGCAAACTGCAGGTGGGGAGAGAAGAGTAGGGTGCCCAAAACTGCACTTCAAAGACATCACCAAGCAGGACACGAAGGCTTCTGGAATCGACCCAAACCTTTGGGAGGTGCTAGCAGGAGACAGGGCAAAGTGGCGCTCCCTTCTCAATCAAGGAGTCCAACATCCTGACGAGAAACGATCACTACAACCACACCAGAAACGTGACCAAAGAAAACAGCCCATCAGCACAGTAGCCCGCCCCCAATGCCATGTACCCCTGTGACCACTGTGGCAGGACCTGCGAGTCTAAAATCATTCACAAGAGAAAATGCACCGCCAGGCAGCAGAATCGCTGCAAGATCCAGTGTCACTCGCTGATGAATGGATGCCATACGCAATTTGTTTTGTTG